GCAAATATATTATGAAGCACTATCACTGTGCATTCAATATATTAATTAAAATTAAAAAAATTTGAAAGTTGCATACCATATTTCTCAATGCCATCAAAAAGATTTGATATATCATCTTTCAACATATCAATCTGTCAAAAGAGAATATTAATTAGATCAGAATATAAATCTAAAAAAATGGCCACCAAACAGCAAAATTATGAGTAGTCTACATGTGTTATTCAACTCACAAGGGAATGTCCAATGTCAGAAGATTCTAAAGAAACAACACCAGCTAGGGTCTCAAGCGCTATTCCTGCAACAACGTTTGCATTAGCTAAATGACAAATGAATCACGGACAAATAAATTAGGAATAAAAAAATCACAATGAAAAATATTGATTTTAGTAGCATAACGTAGCATTTTCTGATCTAATTTTGTCTGTTGATGCGGGTCGAACTTACTTTCTATTAATCCCAATAGGGATTTCACTAGAGTTTATTTATGAAAGGAAGGGTAAAGAAACAAATCAGGGGAGTGGAGAACGAGAATAACAGATAGGCTGATGTGGACTGGTATGCGTGGGAAGAGAATAAAAGAGAAGATAGGAAGAAAGAGAAGGCTGGCCAGAAGTTTGTTAGAAGTTGGAGAGAGAGATCCTCTCGAAGAGATCTCAGCCTAGTTCTTTTCCTTTCCTTCTGTTTTCTCTATTAATCATCGTTGTAATGCCAGTTTGATGAATCTATACACTAAAACATTGAGTTGAATTGTATGAGCATTTAGTATTTCTGTGTTTGTATCATCTATCAGAAATTAGAACAGCAGAACGCACTGAATTACCTGATGCATAAGAACTAATGTCAGGAATACTGGAACTATAACGCCACCTTCCATCACTTTGGCTGAGAGCCTACAAATACCGAACAACGTCATTGACTGCAACACAATTAATTAATGGGTTGAATATAAGCAACAGACATTGAGTATAACCTTGATAGAATGAAAAACTCCTTTCGCATCCTTAAGATAAACATCAACTTCAGAAGCCTGATCCTACAATTTGAGTAAAGGATATGGAGAAAATCAGAAAATAAAGGCAGATAGGGACCAAAATCAGTTCCATTTTCATGATTCTATTTCTTCTTTTGTTGCTTCGGAATATCATTTAAATAAATAGAGCATAGCAGTTATTCATTACCTTGATAAGCATTAAACCACCTATTGAATAGTAGAAATCAAGAAGTGATTTAGCACTATGTACAGCCTCTTTCAGTCTTGTGGCAGTGCTCTTTGAGGAAATACAGTGAAAAAAGGATAACGATTAGGATACGTATAAGACATCAAGTAATACAAAAATAGAAAGAAACTGAATTTCAGTATCAAGCTTAGAACTTACTGCTATAGCATCATCGTTCAGGTCACACTTCAATATACCATTAACCCTGAATGCTTGAAACAAATCCTTCAAATCCGAAGAAGGAGACAAGAGGGTGTCACCGATTGATTTGCACGTGGAAGCCATTATTTCAAACTTTTTGTCAATTTTAAGGACCTCAAACGTTCTCAAAGCCTCATAAGTTTCTTCTAAGCTGAAGAGCCAAAAGCAAAGTTTACACTAGTGTTCGCTAAGCATGTGCATAAAACTGCGAAGAAATAGTATGAGAAACTCCCCCCTTTTAATTAAGATAATAATAAGATGCAGCAGTTGAGAACACAATAGGCAGCTACATTTGAAATTGAAGCTGAAATTTAGCATCTAAACTAAATAGTCTAATAATTATGCCCACTCATTCAGAAAAAGAAATGCGAAGTTTAATTTATCTGACCTCCCAAAAGATCCATCAGAGATAGTAAAGAGCTCCAGTGCAGCGGATCGATGAGAGTCAGAAATCGGCCTGAAGATCGAAGCTTCGCATATCGACGCGATAGTCAATGCTATAACAATGGCCAATCCTGGTTTTCTAGCCATTCCTGAAGCAAAAAATGTCATCGAGCGAATGTAAAAGAATATAGAATGACGAATTGAAACGTGAGAAATGAATAGGGATCGAAGAACACAGTCAAAGAAAAACCTTAAGCGCTTGCTGTGTTTGGGACTTGGGAGAGAAGACTTCCGAGTCAGTACCAGACTGACTGACGATGCCCAATGAGTCCGGCTTAGTGTACAGGCAGCCGGGTTACAAGCAGTTTAGTGAGTTTAAGTCAAATTGTTTAGAAGAGGTTTACAAACAATTTGACTCGGAAGGTATTTTTAGGTGCAATATACACATTTTCGGGTATTTTTTGTCCACCTCTACTCAATTAGGGGCTTGTTTGAAAACTTTCGCACCACCCGCATGGCGCATGGATAGCTCAATTGGTTGAGTGACGGAAAAATTGGAAGATTGAGTCACCGTACTAACATCCTACCAAAAGTCTTTTCGGGTCGTGGGGTCTTGGATTGGGAATTCAACCCAACTTTTTGTAAGAATGAAAACTTCCGCACTTTATCATTCTTGGCAATTGTGCATGGAAAATTCCCTTTGTACACGCCAGTTTTCACACGTCAGGTTGCACGCCGGTTAAATTGTCTGTGCACAGACAATTTGATCGACAACATAGACAATTTAACCAGCTTTTTATGAAGAAAACCGATTTTCACACAAACAAAAATAATAAAATTGTCTGCATCACAGACATTTCAAAATTTTCGTTTAAAATTATCTGTATCACAAACATTTTATGAAAAAATCTCTTCTAAATATCTGTGATAGACAACTCTTTATTTTTTTACTGTATGAAAATGAATTTTCTTCATAAAGCGTCGATCATGCTCATGGTACAGCCGGTTGTACCATGTAATTTATCATGGATTAAATATGTCACTAGTAACACCAATTTAGCATATTTCGTTATTCTATGATAATTTGTTGTATAGGGAGACATGCATGGTAATTTATCTGTACTGTTACCGAACCGAAACTTCGATATACCGAAATGCGGTATACCGAAACTTCGGTAAGATAATGGTATATAAATTTTGCATACCGAAAGTGTTGATACGGAAAAGGTATGAGAGAAAATATTCGGTATATCGTACCAAACCACCCCTAGGATTGAGGACTGACATGCTGGATTATTATTGTGTTACTGTTGTTTCCCCGGCACCTGATTCATGTTGGTCAACTGGGCTTGGCCCGCTTTTATATGGGCCAATATTAACATAATGTCAATGTGTAAGAGATTACTGCATGAAATGGAAGAAAAATTAGTACTATTCTCCGTTTGCTATTTGCCTCTTGCAATCTATCTGGTAGTCTTCTCTTGCGGTTGGAGTAGCTGCCTCATAAGTAGCCAAGTAGGGGTGGACTCAGGTCTGGGCCGGGTCCGGGTCAGGCCTAGGTCCGGGCGGGCCGGCGGTTCAGGAATGGTGGACCCGGGACCAGCCCGGGTAGCCACCGGGTCCGATCCGGGTCCGGGCCGGGCCTCCGGTTTGGATTTTTTTTTTTTGCTTTCCTAATCCCCCCTCACCCCCACCCTCCCAAATCCCCCCAAACCCATCCTACCCATCAAGCCAACCCGGGTGGAACCCCAAAAATGAAAAAAAAATCAAAAAAAAAATCAATTTGGGCCGGTTCACCAAATTTGAGACCCGAGCCCGGACCCACCCTACCCCCCGGACCCGGACCCGAGAACCGGGCCGGTCCACGGGCCGGACCCGGACCCGAGAACCGGGCCGGTCCACGGGCCGGTCCACGGGGCCGGGTGGCCCGACCCGAGTCCAACCATACTCATAAGTGGTTAGTGTTAAGTACTCATTTATCCCTTAAAACTTTGTCAACTTTCCTTTTTTGGGCGTCCCGGTAATTTTGTCATTTTTCTTTTTAAGTAAAAAAATTGTGGTTCAACCTAATTTTCTCTCTTCTACACAAACCTCAATCACACAGTTTTTATTTTATTAATCCTCATGCCCGTCAATCTTGGCAAAGTTATAAAGGACAGAGGAAGTATTTTACTTCTTCGTCCCATTCTAAAGTTTTCACTTTTCCTTTTTGAACGTCCTATATATAGAAGTTTTCACTTCTATTATAGAAAACAAATAACACTCTTAAATGATAATTTAATCATCAAATTATTAAAAGTAATACATCTATAACATCATAGTTAATGACCATTTTATATTATATATCTATCAAATTTGTTTCTCAAAATATACTGGAATTACTCCATTTTGCAATGAGAACCTTTAGGTGGGGGTGAGGGGGGGTCGGGGGATAACAAGAAAGCAAAAAAAAAAAGACATTGAACCGGGCCCAGCCCGGGCCGGGCCGGTTAGGCCCGGACCCAGTATCAACCCGGGCCGGTTCCGGGCCCAAGGATTTGCAAAAAAAACCCGCCCGGGCCCAGCCCGGAACCTGAACCGGACCGGCCCGGGTCCATCACTAAGCGGGACGAAGGTATTATTTATTAGTGTCGTTGTTTTATTGTTTAAAATTCTATTTATTGTTTTATTGTTTAAAGTTTAGTCATGTAGTTATTTACTTATACTGTCTGCGACTGCGAGGATGCCAAAAAAAGTAGGTATTTACTTGTGTATCCGTTTTTTAATGTAGGTTATTCACCCTAAATCCTAATAGCCATAGTCTAATAGAGATGTTTGATCGGTGGTTTACTAAATTGGAAATTTGTAATTTGATTATGAACCGTAATATCGTGGTATTGATTTTGATAACCTAGCATAGAATGGTAGATTCTGGCAATGCTGGCGAGGAAATGTCTAGAAGGTGAGATGTAAGGAGTTTTTTACAGTTTAGAACCCAATTGAGATTGTGTTGCCTTGGAAAAAACTCTCTTTTGTCCCAACTCTTAATGCAATTCCAAACAAATTTTACTTTTCATCAGTTTAAATTTTACACCTCACTCTCAAGTCTCAACTCCAGTGCCAAAAACTACCAACTCTCGGCACTTTCTACTGCCACTGTGGAAAGCAATTTTTAAGTAGCTTTTTTTAAAAGAACATTTCCCAGCTGCAACATTAATCCCAAATTAGGCCCTGGTCCCTCAATTAACAGATCGATTAACATTGAGTTTTGAAATAAAGTGTTGCAAGTTCAAATGCAAGTACATGTATACAAGTGTAGAAACCACAAATACATAAACTGGGTTATAATAATAACTATACAAATGAACAGTAACCACCACCAAGAGGGACCATCGGCTTGAACACAGCAGATGCCACTAAGCAGGGACAATGCTTGAAGCCAACACTCTGGAAGACAGAGAAGTCAAGGAGTGTTAGAACTTTCTCCTTATAAAAGAAAAAAACTTCATTGGCCGAAATATCAGATCTAGGGTCCCATTGTAACAGATAATATGATGCAGAAGACCACATGATTATACCACACAAATCTACACTTTAACTAATCACCTTCCTTTTTTGCAGAAATCGGAAGTGTGTGTTTACTTTATAGATAAAACACTTGTTAACTTGCATATACACCAGGAAAAGTAATGAAACCAAACCAGACCAAGTAGTAGGTATACTAATAAACCAAGTAACATACATGCATGAAGAAAAGTATTCAGAGTTTGAATATAGCAAAAAGACAGGCATACCGGGATGCTCAATAGTAATCCATCACTGTTAACCAGGACAGGTAGAGCTCTTCTTGCGGCAACTGGAATAGACTTCAATGCAATGAGAGTCCTTTGAGCTGATTGCTTCACATAATCAGTACATGAGATTCGCCCATTCCTGACATCACCTGAAGCTAAAACTAATTGTTTGCTAGTATTTGCTAATTCTGCAAGGTACAACCAATCAGCATCCACCATGTGGCGCACCTCGGCTACTAAATCTTGACCAATGATACACAAGCTGCAAAAGTTACCCCGTTCTTCAAATTTCATGCTCATTTTCCATTTCACCAGGAATCTATTCATGAAGTAACCAATGTGCTCTTGGTAAAGCACTCTGCTTGGATTATAGTTAACAGTTTCTTCGTTTTCTAACTTGAAACCACGGATGATATCAGATTGTGACCTGAAATTTTCACCCTCTTTTTCCTGCAAAGAAATAATGCACTTATAGGTAGAGTCACTTAGAATGCCTTTCCTTTTGGCTTCAACTAGAACTGAATCTGCAGTTCTTAAATCTAGAATGTCCAGCCCCGTAACATCCTGGTAAAACTGATCTGCATACAATTTTAATTCAGCTATTATTTGCTCTTCATCGCTTGGTGAACACTTCTGTTCATTGTTGGTAAACGTATCCAATAATTCTGTCTTCAAAGGGAAATTGTCATTGGGAGAGCAGCAAACCATCAATTTGGTGCCTTTGGAACCAGGAACTGGGCTTAGGTAACAACCAGCTGCTGTAAGACAGGTCTGCATGAATGTGATAGTCCATTAATGAATACATCATATCATTATTGACTAGTACATATAACTTATAAGGAATAAAAAACTTCATCATGCAGGAATATCACATGCGGAAACTGGCAAGTCACAGGTGCAGTTTAGTTTGGGCGAAATGACTTCACAACCATATGTAATGGAAGCAAAATGTAAATTAAATATGCACACCTTGCATGGAGAAGTACGGATATAATCAACAACCAACTTTAAAGCGCTTCCTCGAATATGTCTTCTTCTCTGGGACACAAACTGATGGGCAAAAAATAAAAGAATAAACAATAAGACCCAGCAGCATAAAAGTCACTAAATGAAGAAAATTCAGTGGTGATAAATAACCAATTGAACTTTATTAAAATGGGACCACCTGCAGAATCAAGGAGATGAACTTTGAAAGGATTATGTCCTGGACTTCAGAGGAATTGAGAAGTCCTAAATCAATCACTGCATAGCCTAGCTAAATTCATTCAGGAAAAGTATATTAAAGAAAAAGTACAAGAAAAGTGCAAGTGCCCTAGCTGCATAGTACCTAGGCTGTTTTACAAATCACATACATTCTTTTAAACAAAAGGCAATGCAAAGATACAACTCTGTTAAATACATGTATTTACATTCCATTGCTTCTTATTGGTTAGTCCAACAGACAACTAACATATATGCAGTCACACTGAATGAGATCAAATGAGCTCAGATTAATGTATTTTCATAGATAGATAAACAAAATCATTAAATTCTTAGCTAACTATGAACCATACATCCATGAGCGTTTGTGTGTACCAAAACGCATAGGAGGTATGAGCTTCAGGAAAGTACATGATTTTATGTTGCCTTATTGGGAAAGCATGTATAGCGGAAAGTTTCAAACCCCACCTCTTCAAATACTATAATGGGAAATAGCCGTAGCTGCATATGGCATAGCATAATATGTAGTACAAGGTTAAAGCCTATTTGAGAATGTCTCTAGATGAATTGTGTGTAGAGCACTACCGCACAAGTTTATCATGATCCATGGCTACCTGGGGAACACTCACTGATTCTGCTGCTGGCAGTTGAAGAAATGGACGTTTTACAGTTAATAGACATGTTAGTGAGAATTTTTCCATCATTTCTAATGGAGCCAAAGACTCACTATTTTTTAGCTTGGGGATATGATGGAATAAAGCAAAATGGCTCACTAAACTGTTTGTGTTTTACTGTTTCCTCGTTATGACGCAGCAGTCAGTCCATGCAATTTTTGACGCAATTTTCATCATGGGTCATCCCAAAACAGCCACTATGTACTTTAGCACAGGAGTAAGGCTGCGTACATCCGACCCCCCCTTACCCCACGGTTGGTGGAAGCCTTTGCAGCACTGGGGTGATGTTGTTGTTGTTGTAGACATATTAGTGAGAATGGCAGACAGTGGTAAATAATGTTGGTCCAAAGCCTTCCGAATATACAGGAGGTCGGCATCCACACTTAGATTACCACTTGGCCAAAAGAGAAATGTTAAAGTTTGGAAAGAAGAAGAGAATAATGTCTATTATCAAGAGTAGTGGGGCTTTTTGTTAAAAGCATAAAAAGCTATGAGGAGGGACTTTTCTTAAAAGCGCCGGAAGTGGAGCTTCTATAGGATTGAATTATATGGTAATGCAAATTTAAGTTAAAAAGCACTTGTAAAATAGCCATATACAACCATAATTTATACGCCACCAAATTGTAAGTAATCTGCAACCAAGTTCTGTAGTACGCACCATACTAGCAAATTTCCCTTGATCTATCTGCCTAAAATCAGTCTCTCCAAAAACACTCGCCAATAGTCATAGTTGGAATGAAAACTTACGGGCGTGATGATCACGGCATGATGAATTATATTGGAACAAATCCTATCAATATGCATTCTTGTTCTCTGGCAGGTTGTTATAACCGATCGTAATTCAGCTTTGAAGGCAGCTGCATAGTAAGCAGAAAAGGCTAGAATATTACTCCCTCAGTCCCATTTAAAGGTTCATGTCCACTATTCTCCGGTTAACGTGCATTGTTCTTGATCTTTTACTTTATATATCCAACTTTTATCAAATTTAAGTTTTCTTGATCAGGCTTTGTAACGGTTTTATTGTAGTTTCTGATTATGTAAATTTTATTTACTAAAAATAATTCTACTAATGACAGGGATCAATTAACTTTATGATCAGTCAAACGTCGTAAACCGTGTAGGAACGTTTAAATGGGACAGAGGGAGTAAGATATGGGGGATTTCCCAAAATAGGAGTAATTGGAGTTTGGAATTCCAAAATAGGACTACTATGTTTTTATTCCAGAAATAAGACTAATATAACAGTATTTACTGTCATCTTATAGGCGTGACTATCAAATAGTTGCAGTCAGTGCTATTTAACATGACAATATTTATTGTAATTAATGGTAGTATTTTTCAACAAGATGCCAACGAGTTGGAGGAAGAATACTCTTATCCCATTATTTAAGAATAAAGGTGATGTACAAGAATGTGCCAACTATCGAGGGATTAAGCTTATGAGTCACACCATGAAACTTTGGGAGCAAGTGATTGAGCAAAGACTTCGAAGAACTGTGAAGATTTCAGAGAATCAATTCGGTTTTATGTCTGGTCACTCAACAACTAAGGCCATTCACCTTCTTCGGCAACTTATGGAGAAGTATAGAGACGCTCATAAGGATCTGCATTTGGTGTTCATTGACTTAGAAAAGGCATATGATAGGGTACCTCGAGAAGTTCTTTGGTGGGCCTTAACTAGGAAAGGCATATCACGCAAGTATATCAGCATCATCATGGATAAGTATGAGGATTGTACTACAAGTGTCCGTACTAGTGTAGGGAGGACTGAAGAGTTCCCTATTACTATCGGAGTGCACCAAGGATCGGCCTTGAGCCCTTTCTTATTTTCCATAGTCATGGATGAACTTACGAAGTCAATTCAAGACGATATACCGTGGTGCATGATGTTTGCCGACGATATTGTATTGATTGATGAGACGCAATCAGGTCTTAAAGCAAAGTTGGAAGTATGGCGACAAACATGGGAGAATAAGGGTTTCAAACTAAGTCGGAGCAAGACAGAGTACATGGAGTGCAAGTTTGGTGGAGGTAGAAGCAGTGGTAATAGCGAAATTACTCTGGATGGTAAGGAGATACCAATCAGCGATATGTTCCGTTACTTGGGCTCCATAATTCAGAAAGACGGTGAGTTAGATGGAGATGTATCTCATAGAATCAGAACAGGGTGGATGAAGTGGAAGAGTGCGTCAGGATTTCTATGTGACCGGGGTATGCCGACTAGACTGAAGGGTAAATTTTATAGGACATCAATTAGGCCTGCATTACTGTATGGCGTAGAGTGTTGGGCGGTGAAACAATGTCACATTCAAAAGATGAGTGTGGCAGAGATGCGCATGCTGTGTTGGATGTGTGGGCATACTAGGAAGGACCGCGTGAGGAATGAGACAATCAGACAAAGGGTGTGAGTAGCACCTATTGAAGACAAGATGCGGGAGTCGCGCCTACAGTGATTTGGTCATGTGCGTAGAAGACCAAGTGATGCACCTATAAGACGAGTTGAGATGTGTGGAGAAGAGGCAGGGAAGAGAGGGAGAGGAAGACCCAAACAGACGTGGATTTCGAAGTGATATGCTTCTTCTGGGGTTAGATGAGGGCATGACTTTGGAGAGAACTAAGTGGAGGGTGGGTATTCGCGTGAAGGAGTGATCTTGTATAATCTTTTTCCTCATCTTTTTTTCCTTGTTTTTTATCCTTATATATATAAGCATTATTTGTAGCCTTTTTATTTTATCATTTTTTGTATATTCATCTCTTTTTATATTCTTTTTATAATAGCTTATCTTTTTTATCTTTATTTTCTTTCTTTTCCTTTTGGTTGTGATATCATGTATCGATTCAGGTTAGCCGACCCCAATATCTTTTGGGACTAAGGCTTGGATGTTGTTGTTGTTGTAATGGTAGTATTTTTCAATCATGACAGTATTTTTCATATATGACAGTAACAACTCCTATTCCGGGAAGAAAAACATAGTAGTCCTATTTTGGAATTTCAAACCTCATTTACTCCTATTTAGGGCAATTTTCCCGTAAGATATTATATACGTAATATCTAAGCCTCTGTGACATGTAACTATTAATGCCACATATGTTATTGTATATAGGTAATTATATTTATAGCAAGAAGCATGAAAATGTTGAGAATTCTAGCCACCAAATTCAAGGAAAACATCTCACACGATGACAAGCCAGTCAATGCTAATCGAATTCTATTCCGGGCAAATACTTGACTTTGATTTGTTGGATCTTCCACCCATTCTTGGTTGGCAGCTTGGCATATCTGCAATAGTAAAACACACAGAATATACACAGAATGACATAATCTGAACTAAACTATTGATAATAAGTTTATGTGGTTTTCTGGACCAACCTTGTACATATCTTCTTTTGAAAACTCCAAGAGAGGTCTAACCAATAACGTTTTATGGGGTTGAAAATAAACCAGATTGGTAAATACATTTCTATTGTACAATTCTGATACAAACGGCATGCCAGAAAGCCCAAGCACACTGCTATGCCGAGACAACCTCAGAACAAATAACTCTGCCTGTGTATGAGATTAAAAAAATCCATGATTGACTTTATGTTACAGATATTGTGTTGTAGTCCGTACAATAAATTCTCAGCTCAAACCTGATAGAAAATCAACTCAAACGCTCAAAATTGAAAACGAAAGAACGCAATATCCAATTATCCATGGAATTGAAAATGTACATGGTATGAACCTGGTCATCAGCATGATGAGCGATTAATAGCACACTCATCTGATGTTGGATACAAACACTTTGTAAAATTTCATACCTATGCATGGAAGGGAAGAAAAGGGATAGGGTAAAGGACTAAAGGCCAAGTGTTTGTTATGATCATAGTAAAGTGAGATATTATAGAGAATGAAGGAGCCGTAATATGTGGCACTTTTTCTGTTTCTCTTTTAATTCTTTCTTTACAGTAAATTTTTTATTTTTCATATCTGCAGGCTGCAGCTTTAGAGTATCAAAAGTGCATTAATTCAATATTTTCCACCCTTAAGTTTCTCCAGCTATAAATGTTGCATGGTACTCTAAAACTTGAATCAAGGTATTCCAGTCCTATTATACTGCTTTTATGGCTTTACCTTGACCTTGGGAAAATGTGCAAACACCTAAAATATCACTTACAGAAGACCGGAGAGCATACCTTTTATTACGAGCCTCTTCTTGCAAGTGGCCCTGTTTAGGTCTACCTTCCAACCATTCACAGTGAGCAGTCTCACATTTAATTCCTACATAAAGTGAACCTTACATATCACTCACTCTATTAAACACACTCAGGAAAGCTCCCAAACCGAAAAGAAAATACCAAACATGAAACCAAGGGTATTGTTATTATACCCATATTGGTAACTCGGCACTGAACAAGATTTGCCTCTTCTTTACTCTCAGCTCGCAACCCATGGTCCACTACTACAGCCAGAAGTCCATCAATGTACTCACTTTTCTTATCACTAATGAGACCAACACTTCGATTGTTTGTTTTCCAAGACGCAGCTAATAGACACAATGCCATACTATCGGGACCGCCAGAGACACCCAAAGCTTTTCAGAAAGAAAAATCAAAAATGATTTTAATTTCCTTTTACTCTTTCGAGAAAACGAAAGCAGCACAACCAGTCAGAAAAACTGGACAATTAAATAGAACGAAATAAATTTGGGGTTTTTAAAAGGTATGTACTTTAATGCTTTGATTTAAAGGGATAGGAGACTAACCAATACGGTGGTGAGGTTTAAGTCCAGCCATAGCCATGCGCTTAGCAAAGGTCTCTATGTAGTTTGAAGACTCAATTGACCTGCTTGTGTGATGGTGACAAGAGGAAGAGTAGAGTGAACGAATGTAGAAGGAGAAGGAAGCAGAACATCTGTAGTCGGAGGGTTTAATCGGTGTTCTGCGAAGGGAGGGTAAGAGTAGAAAGTGAGAGGGAGCTGTGGTATGCGCCATTGATAGTTGATGAAGGAGGTGTGCTCCTTACAGTGATAATATATCCCAGGAGCGTAGCCAGGGAACCATATATAAGGGTGGGCTGGATTTGAACTAAAAATTCTGAAATATAAATATAGTAATCAAAATCAATCCAAGTGCATTACAAAAAAAGTATTACTACTAATATATAATGCATTAAACTCAACAGTCAATATCAATAGTACTACTACGTATTAATAACAAGCTCCCTTTCAATGAAAATCTTCATACTACCAGCATTCAACAAGAAATTCATCTTACATCTAGTTCCAAATTGCAGGGTTGACATGTTTCTGCAGAAAATGATCTCAATTGTAGAACCAGTTATATTAATGCATTTTCAAATACATGATGTATCGATCTGGTCATGATTTTAAAACCCTCAGGCTATTTTCTTTTCACCTACGTTTCACTTAAAACCACGTTTTCTATTAAATCAGAGAATATGGTATTTTAGTAATAACCATTAAAACATAAAATTGATTGAAGAAACAATTTCAATGATCTATTTTGTAATTTTGGGACAGAACGCAACATTAAATCCTCAAATAAACTAAAAACTAAAAAAACAATTCATACATTACCTTAATTAATTAACTTCATAAATAATAATTTACCAGGAAATATAATACTACATTTTGATACTTATCAAATAAAACTAAATAAATATTGTCTAAAGACTAAAATGCATGTACTATTTATCAGACTCAAGTAAAGAAACTCTTAGAATCTACAAAATAAATTTAGAAATTGGGTTAAATATTAAATGGCAGAGAAAATATGAGATTGGAGAATAAAGTCACCCTGCGAGCTCCCCGCTGCGTCGCCGACTTCACGGCGTCCTGCTTCCCTCAATTCTTCTTTTTCCTTCCCTTCCCCAGTGAAGCCTCGAAGGAGTGAAGAAAGGCAGGGCCTTTTTCTAACAAAAAACCTAATACTCCGTACAACATTACAACCTCATTTCTTCTTCAGTTGCAATGGTTAATGCACATCTTGACCATAATTATATGCCTCTTTGACCATAAAAAAATAATTTTCATAAAATAATAGTGTGAAATGTATATTTTATTTTATATATTTAAAAGACAAAGTAGAGCATATGAATAGTGTAAAATTCAACGTTGCGATTAAAATAAAAAAGAGGATAGTATATTTTATATATTTAACTCCATAGAGATCATAAATTCATAACTATCAAACACTACTACAATAAGCAGAATAAAATTTGGATGCATCACAAATCAAGTATCAACATAAAATTTAATGAACTTGAAGAAAATCACACTCTCTCCGTTTCGGATAGAATTTGACGTTTGCTTTTGACACAGTATTTTAGGAGCTCAATTAATAGAATAACAAATAGCTTGCATGCCCTTTGACTTTGGGATAAATTAACGATATCCACTCAAATGTAAAAAGTAGGTGGGTAGTGAAGGATAGTTACTATATTTAATTTAAAAGGAGTTGCCTAAAAAGGAAATGTAAAGAAGTAAATGAGACGTCCCGAAAAGGAAAGTGTAAAGATTTAAATGGGACGGAGGGAGTATCTATCAAACACTATTACTCGAGTATAAAATTTTGATGCACCGGAAAATGATAACCATTGACATCAGGTAAAATTCCCAAAATAGAAGTAAAAAAAGTCTGAAAATTTCAAAATATGATTGTCATGTTTCTATTCCCAAAATATGAGTAATTAATGTCATGTTTGAAAAATACTATCATTTTAACGTCTGGTACTGCCAAAACATGATAGTCCTATTCTAAAATATACAAACATGTTTAATCCTATTTAGGGTAATTTTTCTTGACATTACCGATTTTAATTTTTCTCCAATAAAATGACTTGTTTTCTCCTAAATATTTTTGAATAATAGGAGTATATATTGTGCCCTTGAATGTAATTTTACATTTTCCATTCACCCTTCACCTCTTTTCGCCAAACGGATATACTTCATTCACCTAACAATTCAGATTCAGAATTTTATAATTCAGTTCCAGACATTAGTCTCTAATTCAGACAATGGTCATCATTTCAGACATTAGTCTCCAGCTCCAGCTCGGAGTGCCAAACATAGCCTAAATAAGTTTGGCATGACACTTCAGCCCATAATGAACTGAATTTTTTTTAATTCAGTCATTAATTGAAAAAATAGACCCGTTTGGACACAAGGCTACACGAAGCTGAAATGGAAAAACAAGGTCTGAATTGAAACGTTAGCCACGCTAGTGTTTCTAATCAGTCAACTGATAGTTAATCTTCAGTTCCCAATTTGTCCTTGTTTTTCTTCTCTAATTTCTTTATTCTGCATGTATCACCTCTTCGGATAGGCTCCTCCACTTCAAAGTTCAGATTTATCAGCTGGTTTCCTCACTGCCCTAATCCATCTTCTCTATGTGCTGCTGATTTTCCCAGTCTTGTCTGGGATCGTTTGTTGCACTAATCTCTGTAGAAGGGTTAGATACGACTTTGGCGCCTAGCTAGGTAGTTATCCTTGCGCTGATCATTGTTGGCAGGTAAGGTATGAATGGTATCTCTACCTTCTATGAGAAGATATAATGCTTTAAAAGGGAAATGATTATCTTGGAGCTTTGTAGGGCATAATGGGAGATCTTACGTGGCTAAAAGAAGTGCTTTGTAAAAACTTGCATAAAAGAAGTACAATGTATAAACTTGCATTAAAATTTATGTAGATGGATTCCATTGATATTACTCGGTGCATTAAGGCTATCTAGATCAGAAGGGATATCTTGTTTAATTTCTTATCCCAGGTTACAATACCACTTGGAGCAATATGAAAATGAAGCACCAACAAATGCTCAAGAAGCTTTTAATTGCTCACACTCATCTCTTCGTAGTTGCATAAAGTGATCTTTTGGTGTTTTGAAAAAGAGGTGGAAAATCTTATCAAGAATGCCTATGTTTAGCGTTAAAACGCAGATAGATGTTATTATGGCAACATTTGCTTTGCACAACTATATTCGCAAATTCTTTACCGATGACCTAATTTTTGCGGTTCTCGAGCGTCATCCAAATTTAATGCCACATGATGATCTTGTTGATACTCAGAACTCAACTTCAAGGGCCACCAATTCACAAACACAAAGTTGCAGCGAGATGAGGGACCTTCGCAACAATATAGCATCCCTGATATGGGTTAATAGAAATTACATATTTTAGCTCTCATGAGTCAGCTATGACGATGTTCATGTTTACATATTTATCTATTATAGCTATTTCCAATTAAAATGTTAATTTTATGCTTTTTAAGTTGTATGACTTGTATCGTATACAAGAATGTTATGGATTTTTTTAATTAAATGCACTATGTTTTGTGTGTTTTATATTACTCCCTCCGTCCCATTGGCTTTGCCAACTTTCTTTTTTTTGTTGTACCAAAAAACTTTGTCACTTTCCTATTCAAGCAACTAATATGTGGTTCTGCACATTTCTCCCTCTTCTACACAAATCTCAACCACACAGTTTTTATTATTCCTATTTCTCACCTACTTTGCACTTGGCAAAGTCCACCGGGACGGAGGTAGTATATTATATTATATTATATTATATTATATTATATTATATTATATTATATTATATTATATTATATTATATTATATTATATTATATTATATTATATTATATTATATTATATTATATTATATTATATTATATTATATTATATTATATTGTATTGTATTGTATTGTATTGTATTATATTGTATTATATTATATTATATTATATTATATTATATTATATTATATTATATTATATTATATTATATTATATTATATTATATTATATTATATTATATTATATTATATTATATTATATTATATTATATTATATTATATTATATTCTATTATATTCTATTCTATTATATTATATTCTATTATATTATATTCTATTATATTATATTCTATTATATTCTATTATATTCTATTATATTCTATTATATTCTATTATATTATATTATATTATATTATATTATATTATATTATATTATATTATATTATATTATATTATATTATATTATATTATATTATATTATATTATATTATATTATATTATATTATATTATATTATATTATATTATATTATATTATATTATATTATATTATATTATATTATATTATATTATATTATATTATATTATATTATATTATATTATATTATATTATATTATATTATATTATATTATATTATATTATATTATATTATATTACATTATATTACATTATATTACATTACATTACATTACATTACATTACATTACATTACATTACATTACATTACATTACATTAAATATTTTATTATATTAATAAACCATTTGCCCTTTAATGTAATTTTATATTATCCCTTCACCTTTTCAGCTCTTTTTGCCAAACGAATCTACTATATTTTGCTAGCAATTCATATTCAACATTTCAAAGTTCAGCTCCAGACAATAGTCTCTTGTTCAGACAACAGCCATATTTCAGACATTAGCCTCCAGTTCCAGCCTTGTGTGCCAAACATAGCCTAAACCGTTGATAAGCAACACATCAAATGATGTTAAAAGGAATATTATTGTTAGCGATGACAATAAAGTTGAAGTTCAACTTTTAGATTACTTTTAAAGATTTTGTTTGTTTGATATGAATTTAAGTGAGACCTTTGTTGCACCGTCTATTAGATGGTATTTAATTTCTATTTCTGTTTTGGACAAATGTAATTATTCTTGTTCGTTCGGAAATAAAAAAGTTAACCTCTCTTACAATTCATACATTGTTAGTTACGACTTATGAGTCTCTAATAAATAATCTTTATATGCTTGATATTGAATCCTCCTGTAGTGAGATACCGCATACATAATCACGTGGTAGAAAATGAAAATTAAATGAGAATTTTGTCATTTATGGCATAATCTAAACAAAGAGTTTTAAGCCCACTAACTAAGAGATTACCACATAGTATTTCATGAGCATACAACACATATGGGTAACACATATGGGTGTGGTTGACGAAGTTGTTTAGTTTAGCGAGAGTTATTCTTTTATGATTTATTGATACAAAATTTAAAGTTTCTACCGAAATAAAGTTTATTAGCTTTATAACCAAATTTTTGTATCTAGTTATGTGTAATATTTAATTTACATTTAAGACACTTAAGATCAGTCTCAACTCTCAATAAATACTAAAGTTGGACCAGTTGAAAATAGGCATGATATTCACATGTAATTTTCATGCCGCTCACTCATAGTGATCTTTGTCATCAACTAAATTTTTGTGGTGGTTGTTGTGGTTAAGTCATGAATCAACAATATGATAAAAGCTGTGATGATCCTATAATTGATGCATGAGATGGAGCGGATTGTCAAATCCAACTCTAAAAGATAGATAGCATACTAAGGCCATGTTTACTTAGAACTTAATGAGCTGAATGGAAAGAATGACTTATTCGCTCAACCATTAAGTCGCGTTTAATTACGACTTAATGAAGAAGACGACTTATTCGCTCATACCAAATACAACTTAATCGTTCAGCCGGATAATCCTACTCATTTAGCTACAGACGTTTTATCGGCGATTGACAACATAAATATCTCATTTTTAACCCTACGCTCTTTCTACCCGTCTGATAGTACCTCCGTCTATCTTCATCAACAAGAAGCATAGAGAGGATGAACACACCCTGAAATCTTCATCTTTACAAATTCAGTCATCTTCATATCAGGTTCTTTATCTTCATCTCTTGGTTTATTTACAGATTAATCTTCTAATATTACATTCCATCGGTCCTGAGTGTGTGCTTATTCAATTAGATAATTAAAAGTGTGTGTGGGTTCAATTAATTAAGCTTATGTGAAGATTAAATCTCTGCGTTTGTATTTCATATTCTTGCATTTTTTGCCATGACTTGCCTACATATAAATTGTATACTTTTTCTGTTTTCTTAAAAGTTTTGTTTCTAAATGTTT